CTGTAGGACTGTAGGACTGTAGGGACCGTAGAGACTGTAGGACTGTAGGACTGTAGGACTGTAGGACTGTAGGGACCGTAGAGACTGTAGGACTGTAGGACTGTAGGACTGTAGGACTGTAGGGACCGTAGAGACTGTAGGACTGTAGGGACTGTAGGGACTGTAGGACTGTAGGGACTGTAGAGACTGTAGGACTGTAGGACTGTAGGGACTGTAGGGACTGTAGGACTGTAGGGACTGTAGGGACTGTAGGACTGTTGGGACTGTAGGGACTTCAGGGACTGCAGGTCTCACCTGAGTTGGAGCTGTACATGTAGACAAAGCGGGTCCAGTAGAAGTGATCCAGCAGGGCCATGAGGGGCTCCTGCAGCTGGGGCCGCAGCTGCAGAACRAACTGGTTGTTGGTCTGGACCGGGAAGGACGGCGTGACGAAGCAGACGTGCAGCGAGCTGCAGAAGGACATCAGCATGTTGACGGTGCGCCGGTCGTACAGACCCATGATGGCGTACACACCCTTAGAGAACTGGGAGCAAACTGGAGGAAGAGGAAGAGGAAGAGGAAGAGGAGGGCCACAGTTAGAATGATGAAAATATATTTGATTTGTTTTTGTTTATTATTATTTCCTGTTGGAAGCTCTGATTAACTCCACTTAAAGAGCCATATTTGAAAAAGGAAAAACTGCAGAACTTATTTCTAGCTGCAGAACAGGTTGGAAGATGGTTGTTTGATGTTATTTATTGTTTTTTTTTTTTATCATCCTACAGGCTCTGACATGTTAGATCAATTTAAAAATGAGGTTTTGAAAAAAATCGATAAGATTGCTCTATACATCCATATGTCTGCAAAATGACATAAAATCCTTATAACTTATGGATAAACTGTACAAGCTGACATGTTGGGGTTGATCAGAGACTATCTCCAGGATTCAGTGACCTTCACCTGGACCTCTGCAACATATCATGAACATGAGCAAAGTGAGACGTCCTCATCCTCTCTGTGTCCTTCTTGTGTCCTCCCACTCTTCTAACCGACATAACAAGTCTGACCMGTAAACCGACTCTTGCTAGAAATAATGTATCCGTGGGGCCATGCTATCATGCTAACAATAGACGTGTGCCCTGTGGCGTGTGCTGTAATGCTAACAAGGTATCTGTCCCTTAGCATTAGCGCTGCTGTCCTGCTGGGAGGACAGGCCGGTCCTTTGTCACAGGAAATCAGGCAGCAGAGKTCTGACAGCCGCTGTCAGCCTCAGGACGTGTTTTTAGTTATTTGTGTTTGGGTCAGGAACATCCACACGATGGAGTCCAGATGTACGGAGGGAGAGGAACCAATCAAATCAGTCCCAGCTTATGTTAAAAACACAAACAGCTGGTTGGGTTATTTATCTCATTACCCTCTGTAGGTTGAGTTTGTTGTCGCAGTTCGGCTTTATTTTATGTCTCGTCTTTATTATAAAACATCTGAGGATTAACTGCTGCCTGGTGAACAAGTTTACCTCCACATTCTCTTTTCTTGTTAATAAGTTTCAGCTCAGTGAACAGATTTATCTCATCATGTTTTAGGATCATGTTTTTTCTAAAWGCACAGACTTTATTTTGCACAGGTTTAATCAAAGGTTGGGGTTTGAGTGAGGCATCAACATATCCAATAAAAATACATTTAAACTTGGTTTTAAAGTTATTTTCAAACAGTAAGAATAAAAATATGTATTTTTCCTGTTGTCTAAATCAAATCCATAAATAATCAAACTTTCTGTTTCCATCTCCTGATTCCAGATTGAAGTCATTAACTTTGAACAAGGACGTGGAACATGATGGAGACTGAGCTGACCTCGCCTCGCCCTCAGTCAGGTTCGTCCAATCAGACGTCCCGATTCTGCCCACCCAGGGCTTTCAGGCACAGCTTTATTTAAAGACAGCCCAAAAACCATGATGAAGGCTGCAGGGCGCACAGCTGTGACCACTCTACTCTCAGTGCTCTTCATCCTGATGCATCCATCCATCCATCCATCCATCCATCCATCCATCCATCCATGATAAACAACAACCATCCTTCTCCTCACAAACACAGGGAAGAAAAGAGAAGGACGTCCACTGACTTAAGGCCTTCATCCTCCTCATCCTCTACTGCCTCCATTCATGGCGAGCTGCAGCCCGAGTGTTTACTCTCTGCTGAGCAGACGGGACGGCCCGGAGACACCCAGCCAAGGACCAGGTCAATGCTTCGGCACGTCGTCCCTCATCTTCATCACTCAGCCGACACGTTTCTGTGCCGCTGCCTCTGAATGACAACCAGAACCACAACGAGCTCCAGATCCTGCTCCAAACCACCTCAGAGTGACTTTTATACTCCCTGATGGTTTGATGTGAAGTGACGCTCAGTGGGACACTCTGCTCAACSTCTGGGATGGTACAAGTGATCTAAACTGTGAGGAGCGTCTTCCTCTTTCATGTTTTATTTCAACTTAAAGACAGGATCTGCCCTTTTTAAAATAAAAACACACAACGATAAGAGACACGCTCCAAATGTCACACGGGTCAGAAATAAGCAGATAGATGGAGTTCATTAAAGTCTGTTACAGAGTAACTCACACAGTTACACCGATTTAAAGGTTACAGACTGGATTCATGTTCTTTGTGTGGACAGGTCTGAGCTTTAGGAGTCTGTTTTGGGGCGTGGTCCGGGACCAGCTGTGGTCTTTACAGTCCTTTYCAGTTCCAAGAAACCAGATTTTCTTCTGATTACTTTAACGCTGCATGAATCAGGATGAACATCTTTCATTCTGTTAACTTTGTAGAAAGCTCTGGCTGTCACATCTGAACTGCTGGATCAAGGATCTTAAATATTATATATTTGTGTGGACACCTCTGGGTCTAGAACACCAGCAGATGTGGAGGCTCTGGATAATCACTGTTTTAAAGAACTGATCATCAATCCTCACTTTGTCCTTTGGTCCATAAAACACAGGAAGCTGGTTTAGGTTCTGAGCCTTCATGGAGGTGTCCAGACAGGTTCTCCTCAGTCATAGYCTGACAGAGACTGGACCCGTTTGACATGACGGTCACAGGTCAGGTGGATCAGCTTATATCTGCCAGGCCTGGAGACTTTTTGATGTCAAGCTCCATCTCCTGGAGGTACATATCAACGTTGCTTTCTCCACCAGTTCAAACAGTTGAATGATTTGATTTGTTTATTTATTTAATAGGAAAAGATAATTAAAAATCAAGCCTGACTCAGCATAATTGCTGTTTTACAGCAGGTTCCTGTTCTGCAGCATATAAAACGCTCAGAAATACAGCA